TGCATTCCTCTATAACTGGCTCCATGATTGCCTATAAGCTCTAATTTGCACCTTACATGATCTCCTTAGTGTCACTCTTTGACCCACACCTTAATCTTTGTTTCACGCTCAGGCTCCAACCAAGGGCCTGGTCCCCCTTGTGTCAGATCTGTCTCCACCTTATTGGGCGCAGTTGTTGAGCAATATGTTCCAGGTTTGGTTAATTTATTCTTAGAGTTCTTTGCTGCTAAACCTTTCTGGTAATCTCGTCCAGTTTACTTGGCAGTCCTAAGCCAGGGAAAAGAGGGGAAGGTTGGGTGGGGAGCTTGCGACCCCACTCCAGGATACCAACACACTCGCTGTAGAAGCTTCAAAGCAGAAAACAGAAATTCGAAGTTTACTAACTGCATATTTGTATAGATATTTCACATATTACAGTGTCAAAGTTACATAAGTATTCACATTTTCCATACTCACATATATGTGATAACTTGAACTGATACACATTAGTTCAACATTCTACTTTTTTTTAGGTCGGTCAGTCACATGAGTATTATACAAAAAGGCTTATTTTATAATCCGTAATTCATTTTTTAATTTTATTTAAATAAAGGTGATTTCTTCAAAAGTTAAACTTTATACGATTTCGTGACAAAACGGCTTTTTCTGTAACGAATAAATCCTTATTAATAACAAAATTACTAAATTAAAGCTAAGTGTACTTTGACTTGACATTAAAAAATAGCGTGATGTATCTAGTCCTTTGTTTGTTGCAGACTGAATTCTAACTGACGAGTGCCAACTAGCACGAAACCTTAGTCCAAAGCTTCCTGTTGCCAATTGCCTCCAACCGTCAAATACCATTAAAAACTAAGAGTTCATTGAAGAAAGTCTTCCCCACAGATGAACTTCACTTCATGCTTTTTTTCTATAAAACCAGTGATTCATATGAATGTGAAGGATAAGGTACCACTGTTGGTTTCATAACTGTCTACATATCAAACTATCTGCTGCTGTGGACCTAAGTATGTCAGCCATACTTAGGATTTCCTATCCAAGTGTATCGTTGAACACTTCCCCGAATAAGTTTTCCCGCAGTTCTATCCTGAAACACCTGTTTGAATCTAGACATCAAGCTCAATGGTAAAACAAACTTCAGAATCATCTATATAGTAAGTAAAGATCTCGACAAAGGAGCATGAATCAAACTACTTCGAACCTCAGAAGCGATAGTAATCTATGTATGTGACAGATGCTGAACTGTGCATAGAGAAGAAATTTGTTCAGTCAGTGAACCTGAAATGCGCCTAATTTTTCCTAATTCTAAATTTTGGCGTTTTTCTCATTCAAACCACCACTTTTATAATGCCACTCCTTTTGACACTGATCTTAACTTGCCTCTTTATCACCCTCTCGATTTCAGTTGAATTCTATTCAATTCTGTCACTTATATTACGTCAAGAAAACTCGCTTGCTTAATTTTACTTTAGTTTCTACCAGATTATTGCTTCCTGTATTACGGAAATGTTATCGGAAATCTACAATTCTGGGGACATGTCTTTAGAAATATTGACTAAGAATGAGTTTGTGTCCAATTCATAGGTTACGTAACTTTCTGTCCAATCTGATTAGAATATCCATTTTACGTTCAAGACTCTCACAATACTGGTCGAGAGCTGTTAGTTGATATACGATTGAGTTGGAAAATACAAGTTGTATCTCTTTGTCATCATGCTGAATCACAGAACAATGTTTTAACTGATAAAGGGTAAAACTAGCTGCAATCTTAGGTGTCTCATCAAACCAATCAATAAAATACACTTTCCTGACAGAACTGCACTCCTTACTGTGTTTATAAACTGGTTCTTTTTCTTCACACAATCTATTAGATCCTGAATTTCAGGAGGAATCATGTCATTAATGCCTATCTAGTTTAATTTCTCCCCAGTTGAAGTAGTAGTAGTAGTCCCCAGAATCTCAGAATGAAATAACAACTTGAAAATAGTGGAGGTGGTGATGGGAGTAAGCAGACAGATTACCCATTGAGGGACAATTTCGCGTTTAATTGACTGCCTAGTGTGATGTATTCGTGAACTTAAAGGTCATATCAGTGAAACCTGTCAGCTGCTTTCCCAGTAAGCAGAAACTATTTTCAGTTCGTCAAGGAGGTTGATGATCTTCACGTAAGTGGCAAACATCTCTAGGCTCTTCTTATTTAGTTTCCCTGTTCACAAATGTTCCAGTCATCGCTATCATTGATTTTCTATGTAGAGAAGCTAATGACATACGTATCCTGACGACAGAACCAAGAAAATTATTATTATTTTTGCGTGTTAAAAATATCTAATTTAAACTAGTTAACCGACTATTCTGTCAGGTTGACGGAAAAAGCTTCGTTCGCATCTAGTACTGAAAAACCTACTAAGAGCATTGTTTAATGGAGCACACAAAATCTGTGCTAACAGTACAACCGAATATGAAATAAAGACTCTGAAGGATGTTTTATACAATAATGAATATTCCAAGAGGTTGGTCAATAAATAAATATACCCCGGTACTCAAATCATTTCACAAAAATCTGTATATATCCTTTTGCTATTTAAATGAGATGACGTAAAAGAAGCAGTTAAGAGAAAACTTCATAAAGCTATTAGATGAACTTATTATATCTCAAAGCCTACGTTTCTCAATACCATCAAGCGAGTGCTTCAATAATCTGGGAAAGATCGGTAGTTATTTCTCGACACTTCCAATCAGGTATATGATTTCGAATTTGTTTGTGAAAGCAAACACATGATGAGTTCAGTGAGCAGGTTGTCTTTCCACATGATGGAGCATTTGACTAAGTAAATGAAGAACGCTGAAGTCATAGTAACAGAAATTTCATTAATAAAACATCTTAAAGACGATGGATATGGCACTGACTCTGTCAAACTGTGTACTGTTGTCAACAGACAGTCGAACAGAAAGATGACTACATCTATGGAAGCTTGGGCAGTTAGAGTTTATAGACCCATTCTCTGTGTGAAGATGAATGTGGTGCTCACTCTGCATCTACCATAGCAATATGTTTTATTTACTAACCATTATTATTATTATTAATATTTCATTCCATCTCTTATAATTATTCTTGACTGATTTAAAACTGTTTCCTGTCAGTACCGTTATCTTAACTCGTTTCATTATTATTATTATTATGATTCCGTTTGCAATTTCTGACAGTTTAAAGTTCTCTCTCTCTGCTAATTGTTTATTTCAGTAGTGTAACTGATCAGTAATCCATTACAATCCCAATTGCCAATCTCTCACCTCCATTTTACCTTATCTATCTGAACCTGAATAGCAAAACTTTCTCGCCTATCCTTTAAAGCCATATATCTCTCTTCCTAGTCGTATATATACATGTATTTATCCCCATATGCAGAGTAGTCAGGTGAGGATTTTCATGGAGATTTTATCAATTCATTGAATTCTGGCTTATTGATATTTGTTGCTGGGTTTAAATTCGTATCCCAAAATACATGTGTATATGATGGAGAAGATTTGTAGCTCAGGTCAATGATTTTGTTGTAGTTGTGTTCTCTGGATTGGATGGTTTATTTGCAAAGCTTTCATTGTCCTACTAGGTAACATCTTCCGCGCATACTTCAATTTGATGAAGTGAGCTTTTAGTTTTCTCCATGAGTTGATGATTCATATCTCCTCGTGGCCTTGAACATGACTGGTTGTTTATGTGTGTTTTCTCACCTTCTAGGCTACTTGCATTGTTACTGATTGTTTCCTTGACCTGAAGTTTGACCCTTTGTGTATGAGAATTCACTCTTATCAATCGGTAAACTTTGTCTACGTCAATGTGTCTGTTAATAATCGATTTACTGGAATACCAGCCTTCTAAAAGTTCTCTGGAATTCCTAATGTTTCCCTGTCTAATGTTTGAACTTTGTCCTAGTCGAATTGATGTCCGTGGTGGCAGCTGTTTCGGTCTTTTGTGGCCATTCTCATCAGCGGTGCCTTAATTGACTCAGCTCAAAGAGAGGAATCATTTCAAAGTACTCTTATTCCTGGTTAACGTCTTGAGCGTACTGCTGATACCGTAAAAAGGAAGAATGCATATAAGATTTGTGGCATTAGCAGTACATCCAGGTAACTAGTCAGAAATCGGATTGATTCAACCCTCTGAGATGAGTCAAGTCTGGTAAATAACTGATGAACTTAGCCCCAGACGTTCGGAATGAATGTCCGGTATTAGGACAAATTCAACGTCACTGGGTAGCAAGCACTACTGTTTAATGCGAGTAGTATATAACTACTTATTCCAGTTTTACGCATTTACCGTTGAATCCTCATTATTCTCCAGGACCTAATGCCATATCTTGAAAATATGCTTTTACCATGCTTTCTGTTCACTTCATCTTCGCTCAGGCCATCTGTGGACTTTATGAAGTTCGGTGAATGAAGTGCTGCACATTTGTGTGAAGTTCTACGTTGAAAGACTGTTCAATTCAGTCCACTCTAAATCTATAATAATTTGGTTATATTACCTCTATAGAGGGAAAGACATGTTGTCTTTAATATCTCTCACATCGCTTTTGCGCCATACTCAACATTATGTACCTGTTTACGTATAGTGCTCAGCGAGTTACCTGAGGTTCTAGTGGAAACCCGTGACCAGTAGGTTGCAGCGGGTTGAAGGTGAGGGCGGTTACTCATCGAAACATCGATGTCGCGTTGTGTCATGAATCGACAGAAGTTAGAATTCATTGGCTGGCCATTGGATCGGGTCCCAGTGGCCTAATGGTCAACGAGCTTCCTGGTTTGGGTTCGAACCGCGGTGGTGTGTGCGTACTACTGAAGAGTCCCAAACTAGGCTAACGAAACAGCTGTCCAGTACTCCCTGACAGGTTTTCCAATGGTTCTCTAACTGATGTCAGCTCATCATGAAATCCTCTAACCAATCAAACAAAATTCCCCACACACAAACACCACATAATGTAAATTTTAATAAAACATGATAATTGAGCATAATTTTCTTCTCAATCAACGATTATAACAAACATCTTAAAAGCACTCTCAATGAACAAAATTACATCTATCACATGCAGATAAATGATGATGAACACTGCTCACTGAAACAGATACAATTTCTATCATGAAGGAGAAGAAAAAGAAAATGAACAGTTCATTTCGATTTTATGCGTATATATTCAGATGAAATAACAATTGCTTTGTGAGTATTTATTCTTTCCCTCTCTTTCTCAAGAGTGAGATAGAGACGTAAATTTTAATCATAATACTTATGATTGTAACTAGAAGGATGGATAGGGAAGCAGTGTAAGAAGTGAGGCGAACAGAATAAAGGAAGAGCCATGGATAGAGAAAGACAGTTAGTGAAACTCAGAGAGACGGAGAGAGATTCGTATATCAAAAATGATTACCATAGGATATGTATAATATATATATGTATCAAAAATAAAGATGTAGGAACACGAAAATGACAGCAGCAATGAAAGAATAGAAGTAGTGAGTGACACTTCTTCTTCTTCCTCTTCTTTTTTTTCTGTTGTTTGATAGAATGTATTATTTACATTCACAGAGAAAAAAAACAGTAATCAGGGGGTTGGTTTTTCCTTATTCGGCGGATCTTCTATGTCAGTCTTTTCTTCTTCAACAGTAATCACATCGAAATCTTGATTTGGTGGATGACGATATAAGCACCAATGTTGTACCATAAATAAGATATCGAATGCAATTGACAATATGCCTAGGCCAAGTTTTATCGGTGAGCCAGTTATACTACTGATATCATCTGTATGCAGAAATAACAAATAAAAGCTTGTACAAATTTGTCAGTGGGAAGTTAAACAATGTTAAGTTGGGATTTTTCTCCATAACTTGATACATCTAGTCTTTTCTGGTGTGTGATCATAAAGTCACGGAGTTTTAATATCGTTTGTTACAGAGTGAATTTCATCAGGCAGGTTTCCAATGCGATCACCGTGCTAGGTGGCTCGCCTTAGAGATGACGGTTAGAAGTGATCATCAGGAAGCTGTGGAGGTAGGTTTTGTGCTTGTCGACACTTCAGTCTTGAAGAAGGTCATGGCACTTCTGAGATTTCAAAGCAGACCAGTCAGTACTGCAGTCAGAGACTTTAGTACTAAGCTAATCTGGCTTGCGATTGGCCTCTTGTAAAAGCGTAAGGGATACTTTGATTGGACACTAGGGAGTAACTGAATTCTATGAGAAAGGATATGAGTTCCATTATAATTGCAGGCATGCCCGCTGGTCGCCTTCAGCTATCTATCAGCAAATGGCTTAACATTGATATGAACGTAAGCTTCACGTCTACTATTATCACATCTGCATTTCATCAGGCTCTTTAAGTCTTTTTGTACGGTTCTACGAATGTCGATAAGCTTCCGATTCCTCTCCACGTGATCGCCTCCATATCACTCATGGACACAAGCCGGACTAGTCAGCTCTCATGCAGGTTCCACTCGACAGTCTGATATGCGATGTCATTCAACTTTCACCTCAGCATATATTTAATCCATCCCTACTTCATTCTGCATATTTATTGCTCAATGGCTTCTTGGTGGGTTCTTTGTTAGAATTCCTTCTGATTTTCAGTCTCGAGCCAGAGAATACGGATGTTAATGAAAGTCTACAGTAGGAGTTTTGAAATGCTTTTCATGACAGGTACACCAGGTGTATGAATCCTTTAGAAATACCGACTTGGCATTAAAGTTGGAAATCTGAATCGTGTTTCTTATGATGACTGAAGCAGATTTCAGCAGTGATTTCCAACACTCGCCTTGACAAACTAGAATGCTAAACTCTATGAAAGTAACACCGCTTGAAGTAGGAGTTTAATTTCTAAGACATAGTGTTTATGATGAGATATTAACTCCAGAGTGCCTCATTGGTATAGCGGTTAGGACGCCCGCCGACCATGCACATGGTCCGGGGTTCTATCCGGCCGAAGATCTTATGTAACCATAATTGATACTATAATTGAATTGTAGCCCTATGTTCCACTGAGGAACGTGAAGGAAAAAAAATTAACTCCAGGGGTATATTGAAACCAACTATCACGAGAGAGAGAAGACTTTCTCTCACGACAATTTTTCTTTACACTCGTTTTCTGCTGTTCACTCAAAACACTCTACCCTTCTACCGTCTTTTCATCCTAAATGCTGATCTATTATGTGATATATTCATTTGAAACAGCTGGATTCACGATAATATGCGGTCACACCCTGCAGAAATCCTTCATTCTAGTTTGATTAGGAAAATCGACGTATGCTCATGATTTTTTTCACCTAAGGTAGAACTTAAGAGCTGTTTAACGAGAAACGACTCCACAAATCACGTCTATTTAGAATGATTTATGTACAAACATCTTTTGTTGAAATACGTTAAACGTAGACCACAGCCAATCAATCCTTTCTGCACTTAGAAGGAAACATATCACAGAAATGAATTGTACCAGCATCTTAAAAACAATCTGATGCCTATTGATAACTGACTGTAGAATGGCTTTTCGGGAAGCCTAGTAAGAAGCCGCAACCAATTCTAGTCCACCTAGTTGGTGTTAAGGACAGATACTCGTCAATAGCGGAAGCGCTGTATATATCGCGAGTAAGCAGATGTTGGAATTCATGCCCAATTGGATTCCATCCCAGTGAGTGGAGGGTGAAATGGTTTATCTCGTAACCAAGAGGTCATGAGTTCAATCACTTGTTGGATTATGGGTGTTTGCTGCCGAAGAGTCTCAAACTGGGAAACATAAGATAATTGTTGAAGCAGCACTAATCCTATTAAGATACAGGAGCTCTAAAATTCATTTAGCAAATGATATCGCTTGATCCCTATGTCCATTTTGTAACTTACAAAAGTCCCTATTTCAAATTACCTGCAGTGGTGTTAGAAACAAATACATCAAAATGTATAACTTACTGTTATTGTATGCAATAATAATCATTTGAGCAATGCTAAGAATTCCACCACTGAAATCCAACATAATATTGGCTATACTCCATCCAACTGTACTTTTTCGACGGAAATTCATATACGCCTAAATATAATGAAATAATGACAAGAAGAATGAGTTAAATTATATCAAGGCAGTAGAAACATATAGATTAATTCAAGGATTCCCACGTTGGTGCTTCAGTGGTAAAATGCTCGCCAACTACGTGCATAATCTGGGTTCGTCCGACGCTTAGCCGGAAGGAGTCAGTATAGAAAAACTTGGGCGTGAAGTAAACAGCTCCACCCATGTAAAAACAAACACTACAGCTAATAAAACTTCTACTGTCAAGTTTGAAGCCCTATGTTCCACTCGGAAGGCAAAGTAAAACAAAATTCATTGATTTTTACGTATTTGAAAAAAGACATACAAAGTTACATAATACGACGCAATATATGGTAGGTGAATCATATAACTAGATTACCCAATTTCATTTCCATGCATCCAAACCTCGATGTCCTGGGTTCGATCATCGTTGGGGCCTTGGGTGGGTAATGCTGAGAAGTCTCGAAGTGTGACTAAACAGCTGTACAGCACTTCCTGGTTTCAAATGATTCTTGATACATCATATTCACTGTATTTTATATTTGTTTTAACCATCCAAATGCTTATTAGTATTATTCCCTTGCGTTCCGAGTGGAACATAGGGCTTCAACAACACACCTCCACTTTGTTCTGTTTTCTGACGTCCTCTTCATCTGGGTCCTCGACTGACCGAACTCTCTCATCTCTTCTTCACGTGACCTCCTCCAGGTCCCCCTGGGACGACTCACTCGTCACTTCTTAACGGGATTCCACTCGAGGACCTGGCGTGCGATGTCATTCAGTGACCCCCTCAATATATGCTCGAAGCATCTCCATTTTCTCCTACATATTTGTTGAGTGGTTGGCTCTTCCTTGTTGGTTTGTTCCAATAGTTTCTTGTTGCTTATTCTTTCTGGTCATTTGATCTCCAGTATGCAGCCAGGGAAAACAGCTGTTGATGAAAATCTGCAACCTGTTGGAAATCCTTTTCGCGACACGCTGGCCGAGTTTCTGACCCGTATAGAAGACCCAGCTTCACACTGGTGTTGAAAATGCGAATCTTGTTCCTTATGCTGAGTGCGGAAGATTTCCAAACAGGTTTCAGGTTGATGAAGGCGTATCTTGCCTTCCCGATTCTGACTTTGACATCTTCGTCCGTTCCGCCTGTAGTACAGATGATACTTCCCGGTCAGAAAAGTGAAGGAAACAACCTCTGTTAAATCTCTTCCGTTGATGGTGATTGGTGCTGGCTGTTGTTGTTGTTGCTGTTCGTTGGTTATCTTCATCACCTCCGTCATTCTGTTCACCTATAGTCCTGTTTTCGCTACCTCTTCAGCCAGTTTGTTGGTTTTCGCTTGAAAGTTTTCGAGTTTTTGTGACATAACCAAATGCTTATGTTCATGTTCACTTTCACATTGTGTTCAACCAACTGCAATGAATGAATCCTTCAAATAAAATGAGGTAGAAACACTGCAAAGAATTGAAGTGTGCTTCAGATTGAATAATATTTCCTCAAATGACACTTTCTAGGTTATTATTGATATTTTACTCTGTACAGTAATATTTTTACAGAATTAATCGATAATTACTATTGACCTGATGGCTGGAAAGGTTTAGAAAAAAGGAAGTCCAGCATACAGCGAACCAACAAAGAACTTATTGCCTAAAAAATATATAGAGAAAAAATCAGAGATGGATTGCTCATACGCTGAGGAGAATGCTGAGCAACATCATGCCACAGGACCCTTACTGGAATCCCTTAGGGAAACAACGAGTTGAGCGTGCGTTCAAGGGTGACGTGGATGAGGCTGTATCAGGAGGAAACAGAAGTTATGGGTAATCATGCAACCTGCTTAAGAGGTTTACAGGGGAAGTATGCGATGGAGACGGCCTACATTGAAGGCCTACATTCCTCTCAGAACTCGGGGGAGTTTTAATGAAAGAAATTTATTAGTGTTATCACTGATTGTTTCATTTTATTATGATAGATAAAATAATCAAATAATCTGGTGAATTTTCAAGCATTGGCTTCTAGGGATTTGAAGAGTCCCAAATTAGGACGAAACATCGATCCAGTACTCCAAGCGGGTTTTCCAGTGGTTCTCTAACCGATGTCAGCTCATGATGAAATCGTATAATCTAGTGAATATCAACCAAAATATTTTTTGTTTTGTCAATCTGATATTCACTCATTAAAGCACGCATACTTTACTTCTTTCACTTATCTGAGGAGCATTGTCTCAACTACAGTAGGAATGGACGAGGATGTCAAATAGACAATCGGGAAGGCGAGAAACACATTCATCAACCTGAAACCAATCTGGAAATCTTCGTCACTCAGCAACACTCAACAACAAAATTCGGATTTTCAATACAAACATCAAGTCATTTCTTCTATACTGATCAGAAACTTGGCGGGTCACAAAGAATATTTCCAACAGCCTGTTGAGGACCTTTATCAACAACTGCCTTGGCTCTATACTGAAGATTAGATGACCGGAAAGAATCACCAACAAGAAACTATGGGAACAAACAAACGGAACAAGAACCAATTGCCCAACAAATATGCAGGCGAAAGTGGAGATGGATTGGACACTCGCTGAGGAGGCCGCTGGGCGTCATCGCGCATCAGGCCATAGCTCGAGTGGAACCCGAAAGGGAAGCGGCGAGTGGGACGTCCAAGGGTGACATGGAGGAGATCGTGTGAAGAAGAGTTGAAACAGTATGGACTAACATGGATGCAGGTGAAAAGTACAGCAGAAGACAGAAGCAAGTGGAGACGTGCAGTTGAAGCCCTATGTTCCACTAGGAGCCCAAGGGAACAATAATAATAATAAAGCACGCATACACTATTGAGAAAAACATACATCTCAAACAACCCCTGTTTAATATAACTACTATTTTAGAGGAAAGTTAGACAAATTGAATTTCATCCCTGTCTATTAGAAACGAATTTCTCAAAAAAAGTGTTTTACACTTTGGTACAGGCCTACCTCTGTTATCTTGATTTTTCGTGCGCAAGAACATCTACCAGTGTAGTTAAATAAAGGTGTAGTGAGAAGAATCAATAGCGTGATATCAGCTAATACTGAAGAGTCATTCACGATTATCTATCGGGTACCAAACAAATTGTCGAAAACATCCAGGTACTGCATAGTGCAAACAGCAAAGGCTATCGCGATTCGCCTTAAACAACTGATGCTTTTTATGCAACAGAAGCAAGTCCAGCCACTATTACTACTGCTCTAGTCTTAAATGGAAACTATAAATTTATGAATTTGTATTATTATCTTTCCTAATTTGCCTATCTGACATTCAGTGTATTGTTATGTTGATGCTATCGAACTGTAATCTATTGATTTTATCATTATTATTGATTCGATGTTATATAAACAACGTCAATGTTGTTAATAACACTAATTCATTCACTATTCTATATATATAGCTGTAGATACTGAGAATGAAGTTATCGAAAAGAATTCTCTTTCTTCAGAAACCATTCTATTTAGTTACATAAAATGTACGAAAAGGCCAGAAGGGATTGCGGATAAATGGATACTCTTGCTCATTTTTTGTTAGAGAGTATGTTCGTATTCCTTATCTTACTTTTTTGTAAACCATCCATCTAGGCTTTATGGAATCTTTGATTGGATACTAGTCAGTAACTAGTGTGATGTGTCTAGTCTAGTCCTTTTTTTTACTGTAGACTGAATTCTATCAGCCAGTCACGTTGAAAATATGTCCACCATGCCACTAGGTGGTTCGTCACGATGGTGCACATTGATTTTATGATACTAGATGGTTGGAGGTAATCGGAAGCCTTGGACCTAAGTCTCGTGCAATTTGGTACTCGTTAGCAATTCAGTCTGCACCAAAGAAAGAACTAGACACATCACACTAGTTGCTGACTAGTGTCCAATCGAAAATATCCAGTACAGTCCTACATGAGGTCAATCGCAGTTTTCTGGATTCCATCTGCAACTCACATTTACACTCCACCTTAAATTATTACCAGTTGCATTTATAAAGTGTAATCCAGTGAAATGAATAAAAAATGACACAATCATAAAAAAACGTGATTTGGCTTTGCAGAAATTCAGAACTTCATACTGCATTTCTCATTGAAATGACAATGAATAAAATGGAGTCCAGATATCGATGACGGAATAAAAAGCAGTTGGATACGATGCATAACAATCCCGTATAGAGAAATATACGTGAAGAATAAACAGAGAGGAATTTTGATGTAAATGTGTTCTCTTAGCTGAATGGTTGATTTGCGAAGCTTTCGTCACCCTAATAGGCAACATTTTCAGCTCATACTTCAATTTGAAGTTAGCTTCTAGATTTATCCATGAGTTTAAAAGTCACCTCTCCTGGTGGGTGACCTTGAACTTCGTGATTGGTTGTTTTTGTGTGTTTTCACACTTTCTAGGCTACTTGTGTTGGTATTGGTGCTGACTGTTTCCTTGACCTGAAGTTGGAACCTTTGTGTATGAGATTTCACTCTTATCGATTGGTAAATTTTGTCTATGTCGATGAGTCTATTAATTGACGATTCACTGAAATACGAAGTTTCGAAAAATTCTCTAACATTCTTGATGTTTCCTCTGTTTAATATCTGAACGTTGTCCTAGTCGAATTGATGTCCGTGTTTGTCTGTATGTAGTGATATGAGGGAGTGGATGTCATGTCTTTTGACGGCTAGTTTATGTTCATGGTTATGAAGACGAAGAGAACATCCACTCTGGCCAATTTAGTGTTTTTCGCAATCATTACAATTTACTTTGTAGATGATGTTGGTTTCATCTTCTTTGGTTGTTGAGTGTTTTGGTTGACACAGAGTTGAGTTGAGTGAGATGTTGCTCAGCAGGGCAATGAAAGCTTTGCAAATAAACCATCCAGCTAGTTCAGAGAACGCACCTACATCAAAATCATCTAATTGAGGTACAAATCTTCTCCATCATAGCTAATAGTGTATTTGAACTACATGTGCATCCAGTGTCTTTCAAATTCGTTCA